TTCTGCTTAAGCCTTTTCATGCTTCTCTTGAAAAAAAAGACCATTTCTCCAGTTGTGCTATCAACATTTTAATTAATTTTTTTTAATTAAAATTATTGTTATTTTACTATTTTTTTATATATTGTTTTAGCTTTTTATTTTTCGTTCATTTTATTTATATTTCAGTTTTAGTTTTAGTATGTTTAATTTTTCAGCTTAATTATTTCAGTTACCGTAGCAGCATAAGTTTGTAATTTTCGTTTTCAAGATTTTCATCTATTGTTTATATTTTATTTCAGCTAAACACCAAATTAAATTTATCTGTAAATGTAAGTGATTTTGATATATTTATTTATTTCATTATTTAATTGACTCTTAATTCTGAGAGTAAACTCTCTATTTCTGTTGATATGTAAATGAACATTTAACACGATAACCCAAAGTCTCCTGAGCTATGAAAGAGCAATAAGCCGTTCCTCTGGGTGATTATTACTGTCATTATTTTTGTCGCTGCATCTCAAGGCCTTGACTTTTAGTAACGCAGAAGAAAATGCATTAGAAAGCCCAGTGAAGCCCTTTACTCTCATTTCAAAGCAGAGATATGGAAATGCTCATGATGGAAGTTCTCAGCTGCTCTGGGCCTGGAGATATGTGCTGTGTGTATTCAAATCAAGTGCGTGGCTTCTCAGAGGTTTTTACAGCATTAAAGGGAAGAATGAGACCTTTTTAATATGTGATGACACTTAAAAGTCTGATTGCAGTCAGAAGCATCCGCCTGTGGTTCAACCACTGGCTTCTTTTTATCAGAGCAATAATAACAGATGAACCGAAGAGTTATCATGGTCAATTTTTAGTCTAGACATCTGAGATATAAAGGTCATATCTGTTGACATCTTAAAATGTTTGTTTCATTTGAAGTTTTTTCCTTGCAGTAGGCCTATCATACATTTGTGACCCTGAGGTCAATTTATTATGGTTGTGAGGTTTTTTCTTCTTGGAAAGGACATTTTGAGTTCTGAAAGTCGTGGTATGTTTTCATAGTACGTTAAGCTTTTTAATCTCAAAAGCTCAAGGGAAGTTTTATTTCTCTTTTTTAATGAAAAGTATTTCCGAACGTAACTTGTTCTTTTGAGGTCTTCTGTGTGATTATTTACATTTAAACGTCTATATCTTTTCCAGTTTGTCCAGATAAGTTGCCTGGTCTACAACCCTGGACTCCTGGACACAATGAAGCCCACAGAGTCACCATCGGTTACGGCCGCAAAGTCGTCCTCACCGCATCCGCGACTGTCCATTCCATCGAGATCCTCAACGGAGGTAGATCTTCCTAATAAAACCTATTTCAAACATCTCCACAACATTAAAGTGCCATGAAGATTTACATCCCTCATGATGAAGGCCAAGCTTGACATGAGCCGTGACAGGCTTAAATCAAAACACATTTCAGACGAATCGCCCTGAGCGTGGAATATTCTAGAGTTTGATGGGGGAATTCCATCACAATCCGTGCCAAAAAGTAACCATCTATTTGTTCTTTTAGAACTAGAATTGGAGAACCTCCTGCATGCTCACTGGTTGAAAATCAAGGCTGAAAGATCAGGATTGGTTTGATTATTTTGTTCTTTTTAGGGAAGCTTGTGATCGCTGATTCCAGTCGACCCATTTTTCTGCGGGCTAAGCACATCCTCATCGGGAACAAGGGTGAACTTCACATTGGCAGTCCAGAATGCCGTTACAAAGGCAACCTCACAATCTCTCTCTTTGGCAGGTATGAATACAGGCTTTGAAAAATCATCAGACTTGCTGAAACACTCCTGCAGCCTTCATAAGAGCACTTACACATCACAAAAAGTTTTGGAGGAGAATTTGACGGACGGAAATGTTTTAAACCTGTAATTTTAAGCAATCTTAAAGGATTTGGGCTAGATTCAGAATCGGTTAACCGACTGCCATTCAGTTCTTGACTGCAAATTTGAATTGGCCGAACCTTACAGGAAGTTGTATGGTCATTTGAATCGCAATGCTAAAAAAGGAATTTTTACTGAATTTTAATTCAGTACAGGCAATGCATTTTGGTTAATGTGCACAATTTTGGATAAACTGAGAATCACCTTTTTTTACTGTTTAAAATAACAGTCATGTTTTTTATGATTCTGAAGAAGATTTTTCATAACATTGTTGAACATTAGTCTACTAACAAAATAACATGTAATTTACTAGAGCTTCTGATAAAATGTTATTTGCTTCATTTATAAAATGCAATAAACAAACAATGAAGTATTTGAAGAAAAATATGGAAGTATGTAAATAAAAAATGTAAACACTAAGCTTGCATCATTTTCTCCAAAAAAAAAAAAAGTCATTTAAACTAATTGTTTAAAGACCTGGTTGGATGAGTGACTCAGTGATTCACTCACAACGTTTCATTCCAGTATAAATCAGTGATTTTGAACGAATCATTTTAATGAATGATTCACTGTCCTGACCCGAACAGATCTGGAGAAATTTAACAGTACATCACTTGTTTACCTCTGGATCCACTGCAGTGAATGGGTGCCGTCAGAATGAGCACAAACAAATGATAAAAACATCACAATAATCCAGTATGTATTCTACATGACTCCAGTCCATCAACTAACATCTTGTGAAGTGAAAATCTGTTTGAAAGAAACAAATGTATTAAGACATTTTTAACTTTAAACTGTCACTTCTGGCCAAAATACATAATCCATAATAACGCTTCCTCCAGTTAAAAAGGTCCATGCCCTGTTGTTGTCGCACATCAAAATCCACCCACATATTTGTTTAGAACTGTTTTCACTTGAGGACTTGTATTTTAGCCAGAAGCAACGGTTTGAAGTTAAAACATCTTAATGATGGATTTGTGTCTTACAAACACGCAGCTTTTCACATCACAACACATTAACTGATGGACTGGAGTGGTGTGGATTATTGTGATGTTTTTATCAGCTGTTTGGACTCTCATTCTGACGGCACCCATTCACTGCAGAGGATTCATTGGTGAGCAAGTGATGTGATGCTACATTTCTCCAAATCTGTTCTGATGAAGAAACAAACTCATTTGCATCTTGGATGGCCTGAGGGTGAGTACATCTTTATAAATTTTCATTTTTGGGTGAACTATTCTTTTTCATTTTTGGATAACTATTCCTTTTTCATTTTTGGATAACTATTCCTTTATTCCTTCCTTGCATGATTTGATTTATAACAGGAAAGACAAATGCATGAGAGTGTGTTTGCTCCCTTTATTAGAGACCTCTGCAGTATAGTTAGGTGACCCACCACATCAGCTGTCCATCCGAAGCAATTTTACAAGTAGCTGAAGTGAATCCTGATTATGAACTTTATAATTGGTCTGATGCAAATCTCTCGCTCCCAGTAATTGACTGTATCCTCCCAAACATCTTCGCGACATGTGCTAGATTCATCATTTTTAATTGCAACTTGGGTTAGTACTCCCTCAGGTAAGAAAAATTAGATCTCTTTAATATCTCATCAGTTTGGCCTAGACAGCAAGAAAATTAATTGAAGAGCAATTGGAGATTTCTGCATAAGCCTTTTCATGCTTCTCTTGAAAAAAAAAGACAATTTCTCCAGTTGTGCTATCAACATTTTAATTAATTTTTTTAATTATTGTTATTTTACTATTTTTTTATATATTGTTTTAGCTTTTTTATTTTTCGTTCATTTTATTTATATTTCAGTTTTAGTTTTAGTTTTAGTATGTTTAATTTTTCAGCTTAATTATTTCAGTTACCATAGCAGCATAAGTTTGTAATTTTCGTTTTCAAGATTTTCATCTATTGTTTATATTTTATTTCAGCTAAACATCAAATTAAATTTATTTGTAAATGTAAGTGATTTTTATATATTTATTTATTTCATTATTTAATTTACTCTTAATTCTGAGAGTAAACTCTATACTCAGCTATTTCCATTTCTTCTGTTTCTGTTGATATGTAAATGGACATTTAACACGATAACCCAAAGTCTCCTGAGCTATGAAAGAGCAATAAGCCGTTCCTCTGGGTGATCAAAAGCTCAAGGGAAGTTTTATTTCTCTTTTTTAATGAAAAGTATTTCCGAACGTAACTTGTTCTTTTGAGGTCTTCTGTGTGATTATTTACATTTAAACGTCTATATCTTTTCCAGTTTGTCCAGATAAGTTGCCTGGTCTACAACCCTGGACTCCTGGACACAATGAAGCCCACAGAGTCACCATCGGTTACGGCCGCAAAGTCGTCCTCACCGCATCCGCGACCGTCCATTCCATCGAGATCCTCAACGGAGGTAGATCTTCCTAATAAAACCTCTTTCAAACATCTCCACAACATTAAAGTGCCATGAAGATTTACATCCCTCATGATGAAGGCCAAGCTTGACATGAGCCGTGACAGGCTTAAATCAAAACACATTTCAGACGAATCGCCCTGAGCGTGGAATATTCTAGAGTTTGATGGGGGAATTCCATCACAATCCGTGCCAAAAAGTAACCATCTATTTGTTCTTTTAGAGCTAGAATTGGAGAACCTCCTGCATGCTCACTGGTTGAAAATCAAGGGTGAAAGATCAGGATTGGTTTGATTATTTTGTTCATTTTAGGGAAGCTTGTGATCGCTGATTCCAGTCGACCCATTTTTCTGCGGGCTAAGCACATCCTCATCGGGAACAAGGGTGAACTTCACATTGGCAGTCCAGAATGTCCTTACAAAGGCAACCTCACCATCTCTCTCTTTGGCAGGTATGAATATAGGCTTTGAAAAATCACCAGACCTGCTAAAGCACTCCTGCAGCCTTCATAAAGGCACTTACAGAGTAGAGAAAGTTTTGGAGAACTTGACAGATAGAAATGTTCTAAGCCTGTCATTTTAAGTAAATCTGAAGGTTTTGTGCTAAATTCAGAATCAGACAATTGACTCCCATTCAATTCTTGACAGTAAATTTGAATTGAACTGGCCAAACCTCACAGGAAGTTGAATGGTAATTTGAATTGCCATAATAATTTTCCCATAACTACATAAATAAAAACATAATACTGTAGACTACTTGTCACTAGGGCTGCAAAGGGGTGGAAAATTTACGGTAAATTTCTGGAAACTTTCCAAAATTTCTGGAATGTTTCTGAAATTTACTGGAAAAGAGTAGAGAAAGTTTTGGAGAACTTGACAGATAGAAATGTTCTAAGCCTGTCATTTTAAGTAAATCTGAAGGTTTTGTGCTAAATTCAGAATCAGACAATTGACTCCCATTCAATTCTTGACAGTAAATTTGAATTGAACTGGCCAAACCTCACAGGAAGTTGAATGGTAATTTGAATTGCCATAATAATTTTCCCATAACTACATAAATAAAAACATAATACTGTAGACTACTTGTCACTAGGGCTGCAAAGGGGTGGAAAATTTACTGTAAATTTCTGGAAACTTTCCAAAAATCCCTGGAATTTTCCAAAAAAATCCTGGAAAATGTCCAAAATTTCTGGAATGTTTCTGAAATTTACTGGAAATTGTCCACCTTTTTGCAACCCTACTTGTCACTAGGGAGAAAGATGGCAAAAACAATTTGTCATTCCAAAATCTTTACATACAAATATTTATTAGTTTAAATTAATTGTTGAATAAACTGGTTCAATGAATGATTCAATGACTCACTCACAAAGTCACTTTTGTTTAATTCCTGAATGAATCAGCAATTTTGAACAAATCACATTAATGAATGATTCACTGACTCAAGCAGTTTTTGCATTAATTGCTATATATTTTTATATGTATCAATATATAGCCATGCATATATTGCCGTATATTGAAAAATATAATCTTTAGTTTCCCATATATGGAAATGTATTATTTAATACATCACATTATATTTTCCAGTATATTCTCTTACATTTTTGTTTAGTAAGAGTAGCCTTGCTGCTGACAAGTAAACAAATAAATAAAATTCATATCAGAATCATTTGCAATCTTAAATCGGGAATTTAAAAAGCATTCTCTTCAATGCTAAATGCATGGGACGATTTGCTAATCTGATTTGTTGTTGTTTTGAAAAAGGTCTGACGACAGCGAGGTCGAACACAGTTATTTTGGCCGCAAGTACATTGGCGTAGGAACTGGAGGAACCTTGGAGATCCACGGTGAAAAGAAGCTGTCATGGACTTTCCTGAACAAAACCCTCCATCCTGGGCAGGGTAATGAGAACAGTTACCGTTTCGAAAGGAGCTGGGGCAACAGAGGCATCATCATTCACGTCATCAACCCCAAGACCGGAGATGTGATGCACACTGATAGGTCATTGGGACACCATCTCCCCTCAACATTTTTTGCTCTTAAAGTTAATTTCTAATTAATGCATGCTTGCTTCTTGACAGATGAAAGGTTGTTACTTCAGTACATCATGCAAAACCAACTAACCGATGGCTTTAATGTGCGGTTGGAATTAAAACAGTAATTACAAATCGACTGTCAAAACAAACAGCGCTTCCAAGTTGGCATCTTCACAGGCGATTGATCTATGACTATTTTTCATCACAGAAATGAGCGTCTGTTATTGAATCACAGCTGGAGGATCTGGCTAAAAAGGCTCTCACTAAGCTGGGTAGCCAACACTTCCATCGACTCGGATTCCGGTACGATGACCAGTTTCCAACTTAACAACAGTTGCTTATCCATGACCGGGCTAGAATTTGCTTTAGCATTAGTTGAGAATTGGACACCGAATTTAGGGCAATCTGGTCCAGTCAGGTATGCGTGTGTCAGTCAGCTTGGCTGCATTCACATTTTCCTCTTTGCATCGCCGCTGGTCTGAGACCGGTGAAATATATTTCTTGAAATAGCATCTAAATCAGGGGCAAACCCTGTCCGTGTAGTTCTACCTTCCTGCACACAACTCTAATAGAGCTTACAAACTAGAGGAAACTTTTATGAAGCGTTTGATGGAAATGCATAAAATATGCCTCAAGGGTGTGGGGAAAAAACCATAATAATAATGCATTTTACTGGTATAGCACCTTTCCTGCTTTCATACATAAAATGCAACTCAAAGTGCTTGACTGACTGGAATATAAAAACGGGTATTAAAAAAAAAAGAAAGCATAAAAATGCAAACAGCAAGCCAGTTTGAAATCATCAGCTTAATTAATCTGCAATTTATTCTGTTGCACAAAGGATTGTGTACTATTTTGGATGGATAATAATGAAATTGGGATGCAGCGCGTGATTGGCTGTTTCAGGTGTGTTTGATTAGAGTTGGAACTGCATTTTGTGGGATGGTCCATCTCCAGGAACAGGGTTTCGGGAAGCCCTTTCTGTTTATGGAATATAAATTGCATGAATTTATAAAGTCATTACTAGAAAATTACTAGAATGAATTCTAGAGCATTGCAAATGGGCTGCAGATCGTTATGAATTAGGAATGAAAAATCAGAGATCTCTTTAATTTATAGCTGTATGCTCTGTCTGAGCATCAACAATCATCTCATTTAAGTTTTCTTTCTCCTGTGGGATTTTAGGAGTAACATATGAGACAAAGCTGATATTTAAATGAAACCGAAAACATCAAACTCTGAGGGATTTTTCTCTGGGACGGTTAGGAAATGCTGTGGCTCGTTCGAATGAAATTGTTGTTTACACGAGTGAAGCTTGGCTGTGAGAATAGTATTAGCATAGCTGTGACAGATAACAACTTTGGAGTAATTAAAATGTTTAATGAAACCCCAAGCTACAATCCAGAATCTGTGTAACATCTGATGCCTGGGAAACTCATTTGTTCCTAAACTTTACAATCGCTCACATTTAAATGTTTCAGACCCACTAATATTGGTCACATTTAAAAGACCATGTCAACAACCTCACAAAAACGGAGTCTATCTGAGCAGAGAGTTGTACTGAGGCACTTTGGCTTCTGAGAAAAAGCTTGAGCTCTCTTTTCTACCAAAATATCTGCATCGTCAGGTGTCACTGGACAGCAGCGACACCTCTTTGGCCTGTCAGTCTGGTCTAGCTGAAGAAAATTGTCCTGATGATGGTGTCGGGCTGTTTCTCTCAGAGTGGAGCAGGAGCTGATGGGAAACTCTGGCGTTGTAATTACCCAATCCTCTCTGAGAAGCGCGAGCCGCCAATCACACCATAAGTCAACATCATTTACAGCAGTGAAAGTCAGAATGTTTGTCTAGGAGGGACATCTTATTCATGGCCAACTCTTCAAACTTATTTGTCCCTCACACACCTTCCTCTCTGTCCTGTGTGTTTCTCTGCAGGCATCCGTGGAGTTTTATTACAATCAAAGGGGACGCGTCCTCAGCGGTCGAGGATCATGCCGTCTATCAGGGTGAGCCTCTTTTGCCCACTTGTTTGCCCAGCGATGGAAAGCAAACAGGAGCACGGAAACGAAGTAACTTGAAAGCGAGCTGATGCTGGGGTTTTGTGTGTGTTTGTGTGTTCAGGAACCAAGGCTTCGTCTGAGGCCAGGAGCTCTCGGGTGTTTCACTCAGGTTACGGAGAGCATTTCACCATCACCACCATCAGTCAGTGGGTTCAAGGTACAAACACGCTTCACCACTGCTACTAAACACACACACACAGGACTCGTTTGCAGGTCCAGGATGGTTTATGCTGGTTTGTTGTTGGTCTAGCTGGTGGACCAGCAAAACTTAATGGAATAGTTCACTCAAAAAATTGTATTATTTTTTTTATTTACTCACTCTCTTGGTGTATTTTATCATCCATGGAGCACAAAAGGAGAAGTTTAGCAGAATAGGGGCTGTTAACTTTCAAAACAGCAGCAACTACAACAAAAAAAACTGCATAAAAGCATCATAATGTATATTTCAAGTCTTATGAAGGCATATTATCTTTGCGAGAGGAAAATCTTTGCATGAAGATAATACTTTTATAAAGGAAAGATGCATTAAATTGATCATTTATAATGTTCAAATAAATGCTGTTCCTTTGAACTTTGTCATCAAAATATTCAAAATTGTCAGTTTCCACAAAAATTTTAATGTTTTCAAAAATATAATAATTATAAATATAATTTATATAATATTGAAATTATTATTTATATTTTATTTTATTATATAAGAAATAAATCGTCTCCAGGTTACATATGTAACCATGGTTCCCCGAAGGGAACGAGACGCTGCATCCGAAGACACTACGGGAACGCCCCCAGCGTGACCGTGCTCTGAATCACATGTGTAATCAGTCCAATGGAAGGGCGAGACGTCATAGGTCCTGGTCGCTACGTCACCCGCCTATGACGTCTCGCCCTTCCATTGGACTGATTACACATGTGATTCAGAGCACGGTCACGCTGGGGGCGTTCCCGTAGTGTCTTCGGACGCAGCTCGAGTTCCTGAAGGGGAACTGATATGTACATTAACATTATAATTATATTCAATTTATCAACATATATTAAAATATATTATAGTTTATTATATAAGAAATAAATATAATTTGTAAATTTATTACAATTATGTTCAATTCAATCCATTTATATAATTTCATATTATATTAAAATCTGTTTTATTACAAATAAATATGTAAATGTATTATATGTGTGCACTTTGGATGGGTTAAATGCAGAGCACTAATTCCAAGTATGGGTCACCATACTTGGCCACATGTCACGTCACTTTCACTTTTCACTTTCACTTTCACTTTATTACAAATATTTTTGTATATTTTATATATAATAAATAAAAATGACAGTGTAGGGTCAGCATAATAGAGACTGTTAGGCTCTGAAATGGACAAAAAAGCACCATAAAATAACAGATCAAAATGTCAATCACACAATGTGATCACATGACTTCAGAAGATTTGTTCCACCATTTACTGAATTTTAAAAAGAGTGACTGACATTTTCCGTTGTATTGACTGATTAAAAAGGAGGTATTGGGTCTATTGCATTTCTCTACTTTAGAGACATTTTCACAGTCAAAGATACTAGTGGATTAAAAATGAAGAAAAGACACTTTAAAGTGCCCCTGTGAAAATAAATGAGAGAAGATTTGAGGAGAGAAACAGTGTAGTCCGGTGGTAGTATATTCATGCGATATTGTTCATTAAATCTAAGGTCTCTTTCACATTGTGAGAGCAGAGAAAAATGAAAAGGCCAAAAACCTGCAACTCAGCGGTTGGTAAAACTAAAAAAAAAAAGCTCTTGCAGAACAAGTGTTATTTTTCCTGCAAGAGAAGATATCAATGTCACATTAAAAATGCCAAATGCTACAGTATTTTACAGATGGACAAAAAACTCTTTTAGAATGTTACAAAATATCTATATTTCAAATACATTCTGAACATTCTATTCATCCTGAAAATCAATGTATCGCTGTTCCCACAAAAATATGAAGCAGCACAACTGATTTCACCATTGATAATGATCAGAAATGTTTCTTGAGCCTCAAATCAGCAAATTAGAATGATTTCTGAAGGATCATGTCACACTGAAAATTCAGATTTGAATGGAAGAAAATTCAGGAATTAGCATGGAAGAGACAGCAGCTGCTAAGGACTCTTAATTACACATATCTTAATTTAGCCATACAGCATTCCGTTTTCCAAAAAAGGTATAGTGCAAAGTGCAAGTAGATTAAATAAAGCTTCAAAAATGAATCTTGAAGACTCTTCGCCCATATGATGTGTGAATGATGTTAATCAGGATTCATAGGGATCCAACATGCTATATTTGGTTCCCCTCCACCTCCAGTTTCTCAATCTTCCTGAGAATCTCTCCCAATATCCCACAATCCTCGGCGCTGTTAACTAATATCCGCGTGGCGTCTGTCTGTCCGCCCCCGAGTCCCAGCAGCTTAATTACCCAACCCACCACTTACACCTGCACATCCTCAACCAGCGCCTCAATCACACAGTCGCACAGAACAGCCCCATTCTGAAGATGCCATCTGTTTGTTCATCACCAAAGTGATAATTTAGTTAACAAGTGTGCAAGATCTTATTATGGGCAGAGAATGAACTCATTTAGATGTAGAATTAAAGTCCTGCCGTATGATTACAGTGCACAGATGGGGAAAAGTGGTTGAAATTTATTCTGGAATTCCGGGAACAAGTTTGGGCCCATGGAATGCTTTTAGCTTTGAGACCATTGATATGCTATTGCACTCCTAAATGTTAACTTTTATTGGATATACGCTACTGTTCAAAAGTTTGAAAAAGATTTTTTTATGTTTATGAAAAATGGGGGGGGGTTATGTATCTAATACTTAAATATTTATAATAATAAATAATAATAAATATTTTTGAAAGAAGTCTCTTACGCTCACCAAGGTTGTGTTTATTTGATCCAAAATACAACAAAAACTGAAATATTGTGAATTACAATTATAAATAACTGTTTTCTTTGTGAATCTATTTTAAAATAAAGCAATAAGCCCCAAGAAGCCGTGGTTTAGGATAGTTCCGGTCCTTGATTCTGATTGGCTGAGCCATGTTCAAAGCTGTTGTAAATTACTCAACACCTTTGTTTACATTTGTGTGTTTCTCGGCAACCACTTTGTTGGAACCACCACTGTTTCCGAGGAACTACATTGTTTGGTGGAAGAATAAGTTTTTTTTAATATCATTACACTTTATTTGCTCTGTTTTATTTTGTGAAACCTTACTACGTATATGGAATAACCGTTTTATAAAAGCAATAAGTCCCGTGAAGCAGTGGTTTACAGTGAATTTATAACAGCTAAGGGGGTTTTAGCAACAACGTAATCTATTCCTGTGATCAAAGCTGAATTTTCAGCATCATTACTCCAGTCTTCAGTGTCACATGATCCTTCAGAAATCATTCTGATATGCTGATTTGCAGTTCATCACTTTTCAGCAATAAAAAAAAGAAAGAAACACAAATGTTATGTTTATCTAAAGTCATTTTGGCTTATTAGATTGGTTTCTCTCAACATGGGGTCAGGATGGCTGTCAGTCAATAAATTGGAAAACAAAGTAACTTCTATTACTTATTTAAAAAAGTAACTCGGATATTTTCTTGTAAATTAAAAAGTAATGCATTGCTTTACTAGTTACTTGAATAAAGTGTGTCTGATTAGGTAACTCACACTACTTGTAATGCGTTCCCCCAACACTGCACTCTGACACCAGTTCACTTTTCACATGTTCATATACACAGTAAATTCTCCACCACACTCTTGGAGTGGATTCTGAGAGCTCTTTTGCATTGAAGGGCTCTTTATAATTTGTCGTAGCTCCTAATCATTTTCAAGTATCCCCTGAACAGCGTGAACACTTGAGATTTCTGCCCTGAGCGTAGCGGAGAGTGAAGGAGGAACATCTTTTCAATTGAATGGCAGAGTTGTCTTTTTATTTTGTTTGGTTTGATTTGAATGCAATGCAATGCAACAAAAGTTGGCTGAACTCCCTGTAGATCTGGCAATGCAGACAGCAAAACAGGGAGGGCGAACTGCAATTATCTCTGCATAAATAGGCTTTGACAGGTAAAACAGGAAGATTAAAGATGTAAATGAGACTAATATCTACACAGAGCCTGTCTGTCGGGCAGCGCTTTAATCGGTGTGTCTGTTCATGTGGTTTTTTTAGAGGCTGAATGGACTGAGTGGTTTGACTGCGATGACGAGAGGGGGTCAGGTGACTGGGAGAAACTGACCGACCTCCACAAAGCTTTTCCAGAGCGTTCGTGCAGTAACCCTCTTGATATTGAGGTAAAAACATGTGTTTGAAATGGAATACTAACTTACTGCTTACTACATACACTCTCTGAAAAAAAAGGTACAAAACTGTCACTAGGGTGGTACCTTTTCATAATCTACTTATATGTACTTTTGAAGTACTAATAGGCACCTTTTATGAGTAAACAAGGTATAAAGATGTACCATTTAGCTTTTGTAGCCTACCTTAGGGTACCACCCAAATGATAGCTTTTTACCTTTTTTTTCTGAGAGTGTGCTTAATAAATTACTAAATGCTTATTTTTTATCAAAATTATGAACAGTTTCAAAATGTTCACATTTTATGTTATGGCCGATAATCAGTATGGTGGTCAAATGTTTTGCTTTGTTTTTAAACCACAAATACTATTTATTGTACGTGTAATCAGGCATTAAAACCTTATAATATCCAGCACAGAAGAAACAATGACATAGAATAAATGTTGACTGTTTTGAATGTGAAAAAATGAGACAAAAATAAAATATAACATTGAACTAATCAGACAAATAATCATTAAAAAATGATAATATTGGTCAATATATTGTGCATACTTCAATAAATCACATATGTTTGTACACATTACACTACTATTCAAAAGTTTGGGGTCATTTTAATGTTTTTAAAAGAAGTGTCTTCTGCTCACCAAGGCTGCATTTATTTGATTAAACAAAAATATAGTAAAAACAGTAATATTGTGAAATATTATTACAATTTAAAATATCTGTTTTCTATTTGAATATATTTTAAAATGCAATTTATTTCTGTGATGCAAAGCTGAATTTTCAGCATCATTACTCCAGTCTTCAGTGTCACACGATCCTTCAGAAATCAGTCTAATTTGCTGATTTGCTGCTCAAGACACATTTATTATTATTATCAATGTTGAAAAAAGTTGTGCTGCTTCATATTTTTGTGAAAAGGATTCTTTAGGATTCTTTGAGTTCAAAAGAACAGCATTTATTTGAAATAGAAATCTTTTGTAACATTATAAATGTCTTTACTGTCACTTTTGATCAATGCATACTTGCCAAATAAAATAATTAATTTCTTAAAAAAAAAATCTTACTGACCCAAACTTTTGAACGGTAGTGTATGTGAGAGAATGACTGTTTCGCTGTATTTAAAAATGTCTTCCTTTGCCTTCAGGCTGAAACTCTTGACGGCATCCCTGCCAACATGACAGGAGAAGTCTTCTCCAAGTTTGACAGAAAGTATGGCTTTGTGTGCCTCAACAAAGAGCAGGTGGATGGGATTTGCCACAACTACCGTGTGCGTTTCCTGTGCGGCAAGCTCGGTATGTTTGAAGCAGTCTGCTTTTGGCTTCCGGAGAAACGCTTTTCTATCAGTTACTCATGTCCCTCCAATACATTTACAACTCTGTTTCATAGAACACAATTGGTGATTTTAGTATAATGCACCTCAAGCTGCTCTTTTGCATGCAATGAAAATGAATTAGCAGCAGTATGCATATCTGTCCATGCATAGGGTCAAATGGCACGGCTGCTTACCTTTGTCGTAACAAACGTTTGGATATGCTGTTACATTTGACCAAACAATTATATATTTCCTATACTGTAAGTAAAATTAGGTGTTACAACCTTATAATCAACAGCACAGCAGAAACAATGACAAAGAATAGGATTTACTCATTTAAAAGTGAAAAAATAAAATCATCTAACTCTGGCCTAATCAGACAAATAATAAAATGATAATATTGGCCTATATAATGTGCATTCTTAAACAAATCACATCCATTCCAGTTTTGGCGTCCTTTCATACACCAGGTTATTTTTGTATCAGTGAGGTACTATTCACAATATATATTTAATATATTAAAATAATATTTAATATTTTAATATTTTGTCAGTTTTTATGTTTATATTTTCTGTTTTCATTTTAAGTACATTTTTTTTTTGTGATTTTTGTTGTGTTTTTGTCATTTTTCATTGTTTTTTTATATACTAGTTTTTATTAATTTTTATTTCTGTTTTAGTTATTTTTGTACATCAAGTTAAACCAAAAATAGAAATGTTGCCTTGGCAACTAGCTGAAATATTTTATTTATTTATTTATTTTTTTTGTTATTTTTTTTGTTTTGTATGTTATTTTTTTATGGTTTTAGATGGTTTTTAGTTATAGTTTCAATTTTAGTTAACTTTAATAACCCTGTTGTACACATTACACTACTGTTTAAAAGTTTGGGGTCAGAATTATTATTTTTTTTTTATGATTTTGAAGTCTTTAATGCTCACCAAGGCTGCAGTTATTTGATCAATATATATTTCCCATCTGTTTTATTCTGTTTAACGGGCATGATATGTGAGATAGACTTCATAAATTATTTGTGAAACCTTTGGGGCCCTATTTTAACGATCTAAGTGCATGGTCTAAAGTGCACGGCGCATTTGTGCTTAGGGCATGTCCGAATCCACTTTTGCTAGTTTAACGACGGGAAAAATGGTCGGCGCACCCGGCGCATGGTCTAAAAGGGTTGTCCCTATTCTCTTAATGAGTAATGGGTGTGTTTTGGGCGTAACGTGCCATAAACCAATCAGAGTCTCTGTTCTGAGTACCATTCCCTTTAAAAGCCAGTTGCGCTTGCGCCATGGCGGATTCGCTATTTACACGGCGGAATTTACAAGCGGAAAAATGGAGGGCTTCTCTAGTGAGGGAACGGATCTGCTCGTGCACGTAATTCTGATACATGCAAAGACTATCCATTATGACATGTAGGCATTTATATATTTATGTACACAATAATAATCTTTAAATAACAAAAAAAAAACATAAAAAATTGCGCCAGACTTTAGACCAGGTTTTAGTTGGTCAATGGCGCAGTCTATTTCAGTTGCCTCAAAATAGCAACGTGCCAACAATGCGCCTGAACACACCTCGTTTTCAGACCAGCACGCCCATGAGCGCACAAATGAGTGCAAATGCATTTGCTTTTTAAACAACGTGGCGCAGGTCGTGAAAATGACAACTGCATCAGGCTGAAGCTAGCAAAAAACACTTGCGTCGCGCCTGGTGCCGCATTGCGCCGGGTGTATGATAG